CTTGTTGTCTCGGATTCTCCAGCATCTGCAGTTCCTACTATCTCTGAGCCCATTTAAATAGTGTCCTTTTTAAACTACTTCTAGGACACTATTTAAATAGGCCACCACTCACTGCAACAAGCCAGAACTATGCAGGAAAGAGGAAGAGCTCTCAGATCTGTTTGCTGGAGTTTTCCAAATGGGCTAACCTACCATTTCAGATTCATAGATGAGATTACCACAAGCATCATGAGTAAGATAACAAAATCCAGAATCTCAGTGTGACATTGCAGCCTATAATCATAGGATCCCTACAGGGTGGAAACAGGCTCTTCGTCCCCCATTGAGTCCACACCAACCCTCCAAGAGCATCCCACCCAGATCCACTCCCCTACGCTATCCCTGTAACCCTGCATTTCCCACATCTAATCCATCTAGCCTAGGGCAGCACGGTGGCTCAGTGGTTAGCACTGCTGCCTCACAGCGCCAGGGACCTGGGTTTGACTCCACCCTCGAGCAACTGTTTGTGTGGAGTTTGCACGTTATCTGTGTGGCTTTCCTCTGGTTTCCTTCCACAGTCCTGGCTAGGTGGATTGACCATGCTAAATTGCCCGTGGTGTTAAGGGATGTGTAGATTAGGTGGGTTATAGGGGGATGGGTCTAGGTGGGATGGTCCGAGGGTCGGTGTGGACTTGTTGGGCGGAAGGGTCTGTTTTCACACTGTAGGGATTCTATGATGTATGATACACATGCCTGGACACTACGGGCAATTTAGCATGGCCAATCCACCTAAGCTGCACATCTTTCCTGTTCTTTAAATGCACCCAGTTTGTGATTAATGCAGCAAGATATAGACACTTTTTTTTTTAAAAAAAAAGGTTCCATTGCTAAAACATGAAGCACTAGATTTCCACCAGTGAAGTCAGATCAATTCTCAAAGCACCTACATTGCAATGTACCAAAGTCTGACTTGTGATTCACCCTCTTATCAAAATCAAAACATTATAGTCATAATAGCCAATTCTGGTTGAGTATATCCTGAGCAGACCCTCCCACAATGTTATCAAATGCGTTGTAGCAACTTGCCACAGTTCATTTGGCATCACCTTTCAAAATGTGACCTCTACTATTGAAATGGGAACACCACCACGTTAAAGTACTCCTCAAAGTCACAAATCATCCGAGCTGGAAATATCTCTCCATTCCTTCATCATTGCTGGGTCAAACCCATGGAACAGTCATCACAAGAGGACTGTAGTATATCTTCAAAATACATCTTCAGCACTTGGTGATAAATTTTTCCAGATATCTTTCAATCTTTTCTGCCCCTAATATTTCTGCATGAAAATATTTATTCACTCAAGTCTTGTACTCAATTTGTGCTTCTTTTATTGTATCTAGGGTATACAGAATAGCAACAAGCAGGTTGCATGACAACTGGATTGTATGAAGACAGGCTTTGCAGTTGATGAGTTATGAACAGTTCAAGAAACTTGAATTACTGAGTCTATCAGTGACATGTATCTGAATGTGGAAGACACCTGGAAGCACTTGAAAGCCTGGCAATAATGATGAGTTGGAAAACACATGAAAACATTGCTTGTGTTCTATTAATATAGAAAATAAAATGTCCAAAGTGCAGAAATCCACAGCTTTTCCTGGGTGACAGAGTACAAGTCACAACCTGAAATTAACTCCAGCTCTGCTGGAGGCACTGTGCACTCTGGAATCAAAGTAATTGCTGTCACTGATTAACAGCACCCAACTGACAGGTATGGGCTGTAAACATACTCGCATCTACCAATGAAGCACTTAAATATTCAGATTTTTTGAGATTTGGTTTTAAATTTGGCTGTAAATTATTTAAAACTTCATGTTCAGTCAGGCGATGCTGCTTGGCCTGCTGTGTTCATCCAGCCCTGCACCTTGTTGTCTCGGATTCTCCAGCATCTGCAGTTCCTACTATCTCTGATCCAACTTATGCCCTGTTGGCTTCTCCATAGAATTAGCAAAATTATCTTCCGTCACTTGGCACATCGGAGTTTAGTATTTATTTAAATAATAATAAGCAAATAATACTAGTTTTTTTAAGATTGTATGTGATGTTTATTAAAATAATACAAGTTTACAATTTACAATATAATTCACCTATACATTGAATAAATTTCTGGCATTGCAGATGTGCAACTCCATCTCATTTTAATTTCTTCCTGACTTTGTCAATATACGTAATCAGTCAGTCTTGTTGCATTATCTAATCTGCTTTCAACCCCCAACATAAAAGCTATATTTTTTTGAGAAGATTTTATCTCTTCTTTACAAAATAAAACACTAAAGCGCATGGAACATTTAGGTAACAAGAACTTAATTACAGGGCAGATTTTTAAAGCCTTAAAAATAATTTTAGCTGCAATTAGGCTTTAAGGTTCACAAAACTCGCATTTTCTCCTAGATTCTTTCAAAATTACACTTTATTTTCCTTTGTCAGTAAAGTAGAGAAGGAAGATTTAATACAATAGCTTAAAATATTTTCCTTAGATTGAGGTAGTACTTCAGAGATCACCACTGCACAATGAGACTGAATGACCAATTTAAGGAAAAATATTATTTATCAGAACTACTATTTTAGCAAGCTATAGAAGGGACCTTATATACAGGTTGGATTCCTATATTATTTTATTCAATTGCTTTTTAAATCTAGCTGGACCCAATGCTCCATAGTCGTTAATATCTGCTAGGAATTTGCCCTTCATAATAGCAGAAACATTCAATGTTTACAGCAGAAATCATTTTGCATTTAAAATAGCAGTTACAGAATACTCAACGCATCAAAAGGTTGCCCTGCAGTTAAAGTCTAAATTTTCTTGTGATAAAAATCAGACTATTTTTTGATTAATGTCATGTTTGATACAAACTCAAAATGAGAAGGATCAATTTGTACAGACTGAAGCCGTCAGTCAATATAGTCAAAATCTTCTGGAATTCCGAAAGCCTTATCAATCTTATTCCGTTCAAATCCAAATTTTTTATTTGCCCAGGATTTTATGGCAAACACATTATCTAGTGGAACAAACAGAAATTAGTTAACATTTTATGTGTTTGAAAAGGAATAAGAAATTCACTGAGAGATACAAATCTTTCTTTAGCATACCAGTCCATCTGTTGGCTGCATCTTTTGCTACCTTGTTTGCCTGCCCTATGAAAAGAAAAACACAACACAGTTCCAACAGCCACATTACTTGTACTTAATAAACCTATTCTGCCTAACTAAAACATTTGATGTGGGAGCAATATTTTAATCTCCCGAATCGATTGGAACTACGGATCAGGATTACGCAGTATCAGTGAAATTCATATTTAAACTAGATAATGCATAGTAGGTACCAAACCCAAAACACTGTTCACCATCATCAAGTAGTGTTCAAATAATTTTCTTATTGTTTACTTGTGTGTTCAGAGTGGACTCGGTTGTCATGCTCATGTTTCTGAATGGATAAAATGGACAATGTAAAAAATTTTAGCCAATTCCAATCTAGTTCAGTCTCAAGACAAAGAACCGTTGCTTTAAAAAAAATTACAAGGGTACAATGATTACTTTGATACCCTCCAACCTAAGATGAAAGCAGTTCCATACCATTAGATTACCCAACAGCATTACATTGTGAGTTGATATAATGAAGACACCACCCATTACTCAAAAAGTCTGAAACTAAACATTCAAAGTACAGCATAATATTTTAAGACGGTGATATAACTGAATCCAAAAATCATACTTCAGTATGTTATTGTGTTATTGTGCCAAAACATTGTTCTTCCACTAATACAAATTGCTTTGTAATTTCGAATTCACAGGTCAAAATGCATTTCTAGTAGAATTGTTGTTTGGGTTTGGCTAATGTTCAATATTGACTAGTTTAGAGAAGCAAAATCTTCAGAATGGAAAAATTACAACTATTTTAACTGAACCAAATGGATTGGTTACTCACGAATTCCTTCAATTACTTCTGGATCACATTCTTTGTATTTTTCCAACTCTGCTTTCAACTGATTCCGTTGTTGTCGAAGTTCTTCCAATTCTTTTAACATATTTGCACGCTTGTCCTATTTTAAAAATAAATATTTAACCATTATTTTACATAGTTATTAAATGATAATGTCACATTGAAGGCTTAAAACCCATTGGTGCCAACTTTCTGTTCTTATCTCCCACTGCACCTTCAGTGGAAACTGCATTTGTTTGTGGGTGCAGTCATTTCTCCTGGGGGAGTCTGATAATCTCCTATTAGGAAAACAATGAGACAATTGTAATTTTTAATCTTGTATTTAAAGGTAAGCACAGTAGTGCAAATAAAGTGTCCCTGTTTAAAACACATTAAATGCATAGAACTATATTGTGACTGACTGAAAATATACTTAAAATCTTTCTTGTCTGAGGCATTGTAAATCATTAGTCACATTAGTTGATATGGACTATTGTGCTTGAACTATTTGATACTTCTCTTAACAGATGGAAATAAAGTCCACCTATAGCCCTTCAGTCCACATTGATGCCCCTAGCATGCACTACATTCAAGAATCAGTATTTTTAAAGTCACCAGTTAAACACAAATTAAATATCAGGACTGACAGGTGTCATCTTTCCATTGTCAACATCAGCACTTAACAGGTTTTTAAAGAAAAAACTGTTAAATAAACACTATTAGTATCACACAAAAATTAAAGAGTAATATGGCTTTGCTTTTTAAAATTTGTGAATTGCTCAGTTTGGATGAAGAACATTTCTAAAGTACAGGTAGTACCCACTCTTATCCAGATCGCTACTTATATAAGCAGCATAGAAAGAATACAGAGTAGTTCATAATCATGATTTACAACCCCACACAATAGAATAATTGTTTCAGAATAGATACTTCACCTCTTGGAATCTATAGAGACATCACCCTCATCTCATTCACCACTTACCTATCAAACACAAAGGATGGAATAATTTACATTAGATCTCTTACTCTGCAGGAAATCATTTTCATGTCAGCTCCAGACTAGTACAAAAAGCGCAAGGCTACAGATTATCAAAGTGAGTTTATGTAAGAGAAAACCTCAAGCAAAAGTATATCATTAAAATCTAGAGGTGAACAAAAAGAGCTACATATTAGCTTGTGAGAAATTGACAACAACTTCGTGACCACTAAAGAACACAAACTGTTGACTGAAAACGCGAGTAGCAACAACACACTGGAGTGAGTGCATTGGCAATATATTCTTCTTTCTTTGGTAGTCCCTCACGTTTGAGGATGTCTTGCTTCCACTCCGTGGAGATGCGTTCTGCAGTGGTTGAATAGTCCAATCCTGGAGCTGCAGACTCTCTAGCTGGGCAGGTGGTGTTTGAGAAGCTGGGCGAGTGGGACTTTGTGGATTCGGCTTGCGCTTGGCCTCCACATATTCAACTCTGTGACACTCTCGCGGATGCTTCTCCAGTTTGTGTTCCATAGCAGCTTAGAACAATGATCTGGAACCATGAGTTCAAATTCTGTCAGACTTGAGAATAGTCACACAGACTATTACTAGCTGGAAATGAGCACTCATTCAATTTAATCTTTGCCTCAATTGTAAAGAAAATCAGAGTGTTTCAGTTTCTGGCAAGGACAGCAATTATTGCTCCCCCTTTTATATCCTAGTTAGAATGTCAAACTATTAACTTTGTCTCAGGGTCAATGTCACAGTGTTGTCCACATTCCACATAAATAACACTGACCTCTGTTCAACTCACTCGCATTTTCCAAAAACTGTTCGCTGATTTGACTTGGCCATGTCTGGGGTAGTATTCTTGAATCAAGGCCTCCAATCCCAGAGTTGAGACTAATATTAAGATTCAATAAAATTACCTCAAGTCTCAATTCGCCTGACTCATTACCACCCAAGAAAAAAAGCAAACCACACTAGGTTTCGTCAGTAACAATAAAAAACTATTTATTGTTACAGTCTTAACTCTGACAAGTACATTAAAGAACAAGATTTTTAATTTCTATAACTTAAACTTTACCCCATTTAAAATTCTCACTTGCAAAGATACAAAGAAAAAACAAACAAATATCAGTGGTGAGAGATAAAGAAAAACCAGAGAAACGCAGTTCTGTATCACAAAACTAGATGGATTGGTTCCATAATCCCATTCCTTTCTTTGATGATTGCTCAACATTTTTCGCAGTGATCATCATCTTTAGTTCATTGTGAGTCAAACCAAGCAACCAATCTCTTTTTGACATTGGATTTTAGAATTATTTATTTTAGTGTCTCAATGTAGTTTTCGGCTTTTCTGACAGAAAATGGACTACAGAGAAAGGAGACAGAAAAATAGAACCAGCTACCTTCTTGAAGTCTTCAATGACTTCAACAAGCAGCCATTTTGTTACATTCAGCTTGGGCAACTACAGCAACTAGACAGCAACATTATTTGTCTGGACTATTGTGAGAAGGTTGTTAGGAATGGGATGTACCATGATGGTGGCTAAAGGCTTGCTATACCTCATCATTTTAAAATAGCAGAAGATTCCCTCTAATATAGCAATTTACAATTTAAAACACAGATAGACATTTCAGTCAGAGACATGAATTAGCAATGGGTTCAACAAAATTTGCTGCATGCTAATCATTATTGTTGCTCTCATCATTTCTTACTTTTCCAATCCTGTAATAACATTTTTCAACAGCAGCAAGTTCTCCCCAAAGAATGGGTTTTAAATTAAACAAAGATCTCAGTAAGATCCCACCTAGAAACCAATATCCATTTCAAGCCCACCGACTCCCACAGCTACCGAGAATACACCTCCTCCCACCCACCTTCCTGCAAAAATGCCATCCCCTATTCCCAATTCCTTCACCTCCACCGCATCTGCTCCCAGGATGAGGCATTCCACACCCGTACATCTCAGATGTCCTTGTTTTTCAAGGACCGCAACGTCCCCCACCTCAGTGGTCGAGAACGCCCTAGACAGTGTCTCCCACATTTCCCGCAATTCATCCGTCACACACCCTCCCCGCAATAACAACCAAAACAAAATCCCCCTCGTCCTCACGTACCACCCCACCAACCTCCGGATGCAATGCATCATCCTCTGACACTTCCGCCATCTGCAATCCGACCCCACCACCAAAGACATTTTTCCCTCCCCACCCTTATCTGCTTTCTGGAGGGACCACTCTCTCCGTGACTCCCTTGTCCGCTCCACACTCCCCTCCAGCCCCACCACACCTAGCACTTTTCCCTGCAACCGCAGGAAGTGCTACACCTGCCCCTACACCTCCCCCCTCACCCGCAGCCCAGGCCCCAAGAAGACTTTCCACATCAAGCAGATGTTCACCTGCACATCTGCTAATGTGGTATACTGCATCCGCTGTTCCAGTTGTGGCCTCCTCTACATCGGGGAAAGCAAGTGGAGGCTTGGGGACCGCTTTGCAGAACACCTACGCTCAGTTCGCACTAAACAACTGCACCTCCCAGTCGCGAACCATTTCAACTCCCCCTCCCATTCCTCAGATGACATGTCCATCCTGGGCCTCCTGCAGTGCCACAACGATGCCACCCGAAGGTTGCAGGAACAGCAACTTATATTCTGCTTGGGAACCATGCAGCCGAATGGTATCAATGTGGACTTCACAAGCTTCAAAATCTCCCCTCCCCCGTCCGCATCCCAAAACCAGCCCAGCTCGTCCCCGCCTCCCTAACCTGTCCTTCCTCCCACCTATCCCCTCCTCCCAACTCAAGCCCCACCCCCATCTCCTACCTACTAACCTCATGCCACACCCTTGACCTGTCTCTCTCCCTGGACTGACCTATCTCCTCCCTAACTCCCCACTTACACTCACCTTTACTGGCTCCATCCCCACCTCTTTGACCTGTCTGTCTCCTCTCCAACTATCTTCTCCTCTATCCATCTTCTATCCGCCTCCCCCTCTCTCCCTATTTATTTCTAAATCCCCATCCCCTCCCCCATTTCTGAAGAAGGATCTAGGCCCGAAACGTCAGTCTTCCTGCTCCTCTGATGCTGCTTGGCCTGCTGTGTTCATCCAGCTCTACAACCTTGTTATCTCAGTACGCAAATTACTTTGAATTAATACCTACATCAATACCAACTTTGGTTCTGAAATGTGTCAGTATTTTGGAAAATATTGCGTTGGTCTATTGAAAGCTAAATGGATAGTTATTATTTTACCTCTCTCATTTTTCAAATCCAAACTGAAAAAATTATACTTATATAGTATCTCAATGTCAATCAATGCGTCAAGGCACTTCACTTATTGATCAAACCCATGCAGAATCAGGAAAGCAACTATACAGCACAGGTCAAAGTCTAAAATTAGGTTAAAAGATTTTTGAATGTAAAAAAAATTGCAGACAGACAGGTTCTTTTCTAGAAAGGTCCAAGTGCACTTACTATATTCCATGGTTTGTAAAGGTGCTGTACAACTGTGATCTCCAACCCATACACTGCAATCAACTGTTCGATTGCAGAGCTTCTGTCTGTCAGTCAATCTCAGGCCCACATACACTGTATTCCCTTGTTATATCATAAACTTCAGAACTTTATTAACTGTTCATGGATTGAAAGAATTGACAAAGATGAACTGTTACACATGAAAGGACCAGTAATAACTATGTCTGGAATAAATTAAGGGGCAAGGACTGAAAGCAATGAGCCATGTCTGGGAAAAGAAGGAGTTGAATATACATGAACAGAACTGCTTCGATAACTGCTTGGTAATTGGTTGCTTTCTGCCAGAAGGACAATTGATTGCCCTGCCAAAGAATTTAAGGAGTTAATCACTGGAAACCTGTGTCTTCAAACGGACAGTCAGCGCCAAATACAACAAGGAACTGGGAAACTACTTCCAATAAGAAGGCAAACTGCAGCCTTGCAATATTTTGGTTGAAAGAATCTAAAAGATCATCAATATTGTCAAACCATAGACCTAAAGACAAAACAATTGAAGGCTTGAGTTATCAAAATAGGCTTGAAAACCTAGGTCCAAAGGGAAACATTTTTCTTTTATACAGAGGGGATTGTATGTGGGAATGAACTGCCAGAGGAAGTGGTGGATGCAGG